ATATTTCGAGATTTATAGTAGGCTATTCTGAAGTGAGTGAGATAACAGAGGGGGTGAGGGTAGAGAAAGAGAGGGTTAACAGAAAACAATGTCCCATCCCATACCAGGCCCGGGCCCGGGTGGCGGCATGGTGGCCTGCTGTGTCAGGTGGCGTACAAACTCCTCATGCTGGTTCTGCAGCTGCTGGAACTGCTGCTGGATGATGGTCTGCACCTGCTGCACTACAGCTGCATGGTGCTGCATCTCATTAGTCTGCAACCAGACACAACTTAATATTAACTCCAGTTTCTACTCCAAGAGAAAGAAATGATACTAATACTTTAAAAATTTTACCGTATTTGACTGTATTTGATACTTACATGGAACTGGGCGAGTGCTGTTGTTGGGTTCTTCAGTTGCTGTAAACAAAACAAATATTAATAAGACACAACCTGGACTTATAGTTCAGCTTGAATTAAGTACTTGGCACTGACCGGAAAAAAAAAATATTGGATAAAAAATTCTTTATATTACAAGAATTTATGATGGTATCTCATACTACATTGTAGGTCAAAGCAAATGAATTACACAATCATGTGCTACATGTACATCATAAAGTATACACATTTTTTTACATATTTCTACATGTACTTCCATTTTACTAATATTTCATATGTTAAATCTATGCTTAAGTGTTACAGTATGTCTGTAACAATGTGTTAAAAATGAACTCTTACCTCGATAATGGATGTCTCAAAATAGTTGTTCTTTTCCCAGAGTGCAAGGAGCTAATTGTGGAAATAATCATTATGATATTTAGTACTTATGCCACACTCACTTGATCCTACATTTTGTATGATGGCATTTTATGTGAACGAGTTCACATAACAAGTTGGAAGCAGAAGACAGGAAGGAAAATTTAACAATTGAAATGTTCACTGTTTTGCCTCTTACCTTGGTGAGTTTCTGTTGTTTTCTTCCTCTGCACCAATCTGTGCTGAACTAAAAATTGGGACAACTACAGACTGCAAGCTCTGTTTAAGGAGAAATAACAGAATGTGTATCAAACACTGTGCCTGTTAAACAGCTGCAGTGCTACATAAATACACTAGGGGGCAGTTTTAAGTTGACTTCAGCACAATGCACACTCAGATAAATGCCAAGGATGACTGGCATAACATTTGCAAAGTAGCTACAAAATAATTTCTAAGTATCATCACAATTCTGTTATGAAATTACCTGTTTGAGGTCTTCTGCTTGCTTTCTGACACTGTAAACAAAGAGAGAATAATCTTGTGTTGTAGATCAGGCCTTGACAAATGACATTGTAGGTACAAACAAGTCTCTATATGACATCCTTCATTTCTAAAGTAACTACAACAATGATTTTGTTATTTTTCTTACACTTATATGTTAAGACATGATGATGATGATGATGATATGTTAAGAATATGCTGTGTGCATATCTAACATATCTTTGCATACCTAAACCTATGAAAATATTCGGGTGCACCCACAGAAAAAAATTGTGTAAATACCAAATTTGGGTGCAGTAAGGTGCACATGCACACAGTATTTTAAGCCCGGTGTAAGAACTGAAAGTTCCTACCAGTGATGTAAGACATCATTGATAAGGTAGATCAGATGAAGCTTCAGCTCGAATGAAGAACTTTTCCCCAGGATGCGACACAACAGGTACTGGGAGATACACTTGCAGTGGTCCGCAGACTTGGACGCATTGAAGATCCAGCCCTTGCCTGCCTGTAATGTAGGGACCAATAGGGAAACTCTTAATCTAATCAAGGTCTTGAAGGTTTCTTCTCTCCTTTTAAAGCAACTAGAATCATGAATTCACATACTCTAGTTTTTTTATGATGTGGTCATTACTGGTAGACATCTTACACAGTTTGTCTAAGTAGTCTTACGCAGCTTGTACTTGCATGCACAAACTGGTGTGTTATGCCTAAAAAAGGCAGTTTACCACTTATGCGAAACAAACAAACATGACTTACTGAGATGGCATCCTTGGTGCACTGTTCTATGATAGGCTGGACGACCTTGTCAAACTCAGACAAGTCCAGTTCCACCTGTTTGGCCAGGTTCTGTGTCGACACCTCCCGAGCCTGCTGAATGGCTGTGTCAATTTGTTCCTGCCAGGAAATATGTATGGATTACATTTAAATAACTTACTTCCCATTGAGTATTGACATTATCATGTTTACTGAAAGAAAACATTGTTTTTGCTATGTTTCCTCTGTTTCTTTTCCTCTTCTTCTTCTCCAAACCAGAAAGGCCAGTGGACATTAATACATGTATCATATTTTGTGGTATCTGTATGAATGAATGTGTCACTTTGACAGTTTAATTGTGAATGAATGAGTGAGTGAGTGAGTGAGTGAGTGAGTGAGTGAGTGAGTGAGTGAGTGAGTGAGTGAGTGAGTGAGTGAGTGAGTGAGTGAGTGAGTGAGTGAGTGAGTGAGTGAGTGAGAGTGAGAGTGAATGTCCAGCTGTACTGTACCTGTTGTTGAGCCATGAGGACCTGGTGTTGTTTCATGAGGTTAGAGTTGGACTGGTTGATCTGGTCCTGTACGTGAGGGGGGATCTGTGGAGGTCCCTGTGGAGGGATCTGTGGAGGCTGTGCAGACTGCCAGGGTGCAGACTGGATGGCCTGCTGGGTAACCGCCTCCTGAATAATGGCCTGCTGCTGGGCCAGCTTCTGTTTCTGTTGGTTCAAGACTGAACAAAGACAAGACATCAGAGTGATCAGACAGCACGTTGGCAGAATGTACTGTGTCTGTGCAAAACCCCAATTTGTCACTTTTGTTGTTGGATGCCTGGTCAATGTTGCATCAGAATTTTGCCTGTTGCAGATGATATCTTTTCCGACATAACATTTGGAAACTACAGACAGAATGTTAACCTTAACATAATATGCGCAATAAGAGACATTTATGTCTCTTATAATACCTTATAAGAGACACAAAATCTACGTACTTAAGTGCTATGCCTAGGCATTATTGAAAATCACATTCTAAAACCAAACACAGTTTAAACAGACAGTTTCCCTCCTTACTTTGCTGTTCTGTTGTGACCTTGTACTGATAGTAGTTGTAGAACTCTCCACCAAACAGGAACTTAAACTTGGGGTTGTCTTTCTGTTTCTGTTTGGTCATCTTCTCAAACTCAGGTCCATTTCTGGCCACGAAGTTGGCGAGTTTGTCGATGATGTTTCGCAGTTCAGGATCTAGGGAAAGAGACACAACAACTTTAGTTATATATTAAGCGATGTTATACAAGTTTTTCACTATTTTAAACATTGTACTACAGTTTATAGTTTTACACAGTTTCTTGCCTTATTAGCCTACCTGGGATCATAATGACATTTGGGGAGTAAAAACAACATCATTGCGGTGCAAAACGTGTTGGAAAACTGCCAGAAAATAGCGATGCTAATATGTTGCAACTTATTGAAAATGACTATTCTAAATAAATAATAATTTAAAATTGATAACTGAAATTTTCGATTTTTTATAAATATTTACAGTTTGGCGCAAAAATATTTTGTTACATTATACTAGTACAAGTATCACTTAAACGGACGAGTGAAAAACTACTACGACAAAAGGACAAGCTTAAAAAAATAAACATATTTTCAATTTCGGAGGCAATTCAAAACTTTCGATTTGGCAAGTATCTATTTCAATAAAAAAAGTCCAGTTTATATCGCCTAAAACGTACAGAAGCCAAATAATCTAGCATTATACCAAACAAGTAATTTTATGATTTGGTGGCTGCCGCACGCTGCCCCCCTCCCCCAAATTATCTTCACAAAACTGGGTTCTAAAAATTGTTCAAGGCGTTATGAAAACACAGAGATACCAAAAATCTGTTTTTACGAACCTTCGGGTGGCTTTGGAAGATCCATACTGCATAAAGTGTGGTGAGCCTGGAGTAAAAGCTGAAAATCAGGATCGCTGATTTATCAAAATGCGCTCAGAACGCTAAAATGGAAATGTAGCTAATTACTTCCGGGTCACAGGTTGTCTGGACTATCACACTGCTAACGTGGGGGAGATACTTGGACAGTGTAAATCGTCGAAACAGACTTATGAAATTAACGTGTCAAATTGCATTTAACTAATCCGAAATTTCCCTCCGTTGTACTTTTTGAAAAGGTCTGATATAAAATGTTCCTTAGTTAACTTGTTATACAAAATGTATCACTTTATTTGCACTGGTTTAATATTAGCCAAGACTTTTAAAAGTTAAATAATTAAAAAAAAATGAAAGAAAATTGTCAATAAACGTTTTGGTTGAACTAACGTTATAACGTTATCTCTTTTCCTTTTCTTCTGATTTATAATATGTCCAGTAGCTTGTTACAACTTGTAAAGCGATTTCCAACCCTAAAGCTACATCAGTTTTGAGATGTGTCTGCTCTTCTCTTTGTTGAAGCGTAATAATAATTATTTGTTAGATATTATCAGTTGATCATCTATTGCATACTTGATACTTAAGTGCCTGACCTTCTTGAATTTAGGCGACAGCAAGTAATTTTTACGGGATGACATCAGCGCGCATTAATTTTCGCCTGGTTTTGTAGAAAAAACAAGAAATGTTGTTGCCCTCCGACAGTTGCCAACATGCCAAAAATGGGCAAATTTGTCTGTAGCTGTTGCCATGGATGGCAAACGAGGATGGCAGATAAATATGAAGAGAGGAGACAAGATAAGGCTCTGATTTATTGTTTTGTCTTTTTACTTTGATGCAGTGATGTATTTCATTTCTTTTATATGTGATGTGGCTGTGGGTATGTGATGTTCCCACTGTCATGCTGTATTAAATGAGGGTGCCATCCATAGAATTTTCTTGCTTATGATGGTTATGCAAGATTTTATAACACTAGTTGCGTAACACAAGGCTACAAACTTACATAAGCCTGTAGCCAATCAGAGCAAACCATAATAACCATCCCTGCCTCTCATTGGCTACTGAGTCCTCCCTGAATCAGCTGACACCGAACCCGCGGTTAGCTTTTGTCAGAAACAGGTGAGGCTATTGTTTGTCGGTCGCCACTCTTAAGGGTGGGCAGGTTGTATTTCTGTGGTGTGTTGACCTTAAGATCATTAACACGATATGGCAGAGGCCCAGCAACGTGAGGAAAACGGCGTAGTCCTGTTGTCAATGAAAGAAAACATGGCGCAAGTGACTCCGAAAGAGACCAACGGCGGCCCGGAAAACGGGGACGTACCGCCACCAAGCACCAGCCCCACATGGCTGAGTCGGTCGGGCTCAGGGAAGAGGCGTGACCGAGGAGTGACACTCACATGTCACGGTGTCGGCTACGGCGTCGATGTGAAGACTAAAGCTTGTGCCAAGGCCGTCAAAAAGACATTCTACAAAATATCAAGTAAGTACTTGAAAGCTATATGCCGGCTTGATCCATAACAGATGTAGAAATTCCCATCGTTTCCAACATGCCTATAAATTTTCTTGAAATATTATATAATACCACATGGTATCCTGTTCTATACGTTAATCTTTCTAATCCCACTTGGACTGTTGTCTTAAAATTCTTTAAAGTTGACTCTTTAGCCTACCTAGAAATGTTAGAAACAACTGAACATCTGTGTTTTATGACTTTAAAAAGGTATGACTTTAATGTTCAATCAAGGAGGTTCAATGGTTCAATTCACCACAATTTCGGTTGACCTACTAAAATAAACTGAAACATAAACATATGCCTTATGTTACTCTGTGTGTCTATCTTTTTGTATATGACAAATGTGTATAAACGTTTAAGGAATTAAAACATTGTAATAGAAGTGTTCCATTTTCTCATGATTATAAATCAATGAAGATGGATCATGCTTAGTAAAACATTGTCTAACTGTGACCTAATTAGTACCTACCAGGCACATGTCACGCCTTGTGACATGCTATCAAAACAATGAAAATGTGATTCTTTTTTCCTTTGACAGACTGACATCAACAGGTTCTAATGTTGAAAGATCTAACATCCTTACTGTACTTAAGGTGGTTTACAGGTCAAATTACGGAAAGACAAGTAGTAAATTTGTTTTTGAGTGTGACATATCTGGGCCAGTATGCATCTGATATGCATATAGTTGGGTCAACCTTTTATTTGCTGAGTCTCCATGTACAAACCTTTACCACAGAAAGGTAAGTGCGCAAAATATAAACAGTAACCTTTTCAACTGGAATTAAAGGTTCAAAAAGATGATATCCTATGCATGTCTTGCTTTCAAAGTATTTGTGTTCTAATTATATTTTTATCCATCAATTAGTTAACTGTCAAATGAACCTCAGGCATTGTGACCTTTTTTTTAAAGTTCAAAAAGACGGACATCCTTTAAAACATGTCTTGCGTTCAAAGTATTTGTGCTCTTTTATCCATGAACACTAGTAGTTAACTGTCAAATAAATGTGGGCATTGTAACATTTTGTTCAGAAAGGTGAAGGTATTCATATGTAAGGTATAAAGGGTAAGGTACAAGTAACGACAGGGAACTGTTTACACATGCAGTGTTGATACATTTTAAGTCAGGTGAGGTGAGGTTGTACCTTACCCTTTATTTACCTTACCCTCTATATCTTACCTTCACCTTTCTGAACAAAATGTTACAATGCCCACATTCATTTGACAGTTAACTACTAGTGTTCATAGATAAAAATATAATAAGAGCACAAATACTTTGAATACTTTGAACGCAAGACATGTTTTAAAGGATACTGTAATCCTCTTTTTGAACTTTTAAAAAAAGGTCTCAATGCCTGAGGTTCATTTGACAGTTAAACTACTAGTCTTGATGGATAAAAATATAATTGATAGGAACACAAATACTTTGAAAGCAAGACATGTTTTAAAGGATATCCTCTTTTTGAACTTTTAATTCCAGTTGAAAAGGTTACTGTTTATATTTTGTGCACTTACCTTTCTGTGATGTTTATACTTACTGTGTCACTGTTTATGTTCCAGTGGCATCTTCAAGCCAGGTATGAATGCCATCATGGGGCCCACAGGCGGAGGCAAGACAACGTAAGTCTCCTGACATGTCAAGTTTACGGAAATGTCAGTTAGACAGTGCACTACATAATCAACTACCACATATATCTCCATCTGTCTTAAAGTTTGATTGTTAGGCCAGGCCAATTTAATTTGTTGCTTCTTGGATCGCCCTGTCCATTTTTTTCTGATTTGCAAAAAAAAAAATTCTTTTTGGTTCTAAATTAACTGCAAAATGCTCTATAAAAGACATATTTTGGCCCCAACAGTTGAAGAAAGTCATTTTCCTCCTATTTCTTAAAGTTTTTCAATGTAACAATGCAAATTTGTTTCATTAAAAGTTCAAAATCTATTGTTTTGATTATAAACCAGCCTGCTATGTTCGCTTCATGGCTCATATAGTAACATTTTTGGCTATCATGGGGTGCCTTGGCCTGTTTTTTTTTTAATTTTTATTTCGCCGTCGCTTCATATTTTGTCTTAAAAAAACGAGAAACAACAAATCAAATTGGTTTGGCCTTACCTAGAGTGTGACTTGAAATTATGTTTTAAGTGACTGTATCCATGTTGACATTTTCGTTTGAGGTATGCTTGAAGTGCTTGAATTTGATTATATTTGGGTATACTAAAGTTGAAAATATAATTTTGCCTGTTATTTATAGGTTACTTGATATTCTGGCTGCAAGAAAAGAGCCTGAAGGCCTGTCAGGATTGGTACTTGCTGATGGAGGACCTCTTCCTAACAACTTCAAGTGCATGACAGGGTATGTGGTGCAGGTGAGTTTGATAATTACATTAGCACTAATGATTGACAGTTTCACTATATCATTTGAAGAGAATTTAAGAGTGTTGACTACATAATAAGTTATAAAGTCATCATGCAAACTTTGCATTAGTGTGCCAAAACCCATGTTCGGGTCAAGGTCTGGATTTTAAAGTCCTGAGAGATTAAATTAAAGTCTGGACCTTGGAACCCAGGGCAAAATGGTATACGTACAAAATACAGAATGGAGTTCTCAGTAAACATTTCCCAGTGGAAAATGAGGCATCTTTACCGCAAAATTTTGTATCAAGCACTGCCCAGGGTTTAGAATCAAAACTGGGCACATAATTTACAGAGGCCGACACTTGATGATGCCCAATGGCACCGACTGTTTTCTTAATTTTGCAACACAACTTTTGACTACATGTATTAAAGGTGGTTTACAACAAAAAGGGGAATGTGACAGGATTTTTGCAAGTTCCAGCAAACCAGTATACAGCACTAGATGTTTTACTAGAATTGACCGTATACCACCTTTTTTTCTCAGGATGACATCATCATGGGCACCCTGACAGTCCGTGAAGTCCTGTAGCTTTTTTACTAGAATTGACCGTATACCACCTTTTTTTCTCAGGATGACATCATCATGGGCACCCTGACAGTCCGTGAAGTCCTGTAGCGAACCGTTATACAGCACTAGATTTTTTTACTAGAATTGACCATATACCACCTTTTTTATCTCAGGATGACATCATCATGGGCACCCTGACAGTCCGTGAAGTCCTGTAGCAAACCGTTATACAGCACTAGATTCTTTTACTAGAATTGACCGTATACCACCTTTTTTATCTCAGGATGACATCATCATGGGCACGCTGACAGTCCGTGAAAACCTGGAGTTTTCTGCCGCACTCCGTCTGCCCACGTCTATCAAACACAAGGAGAAGAAAGAGAGGGTTCGTCAGGTGTTGGTAGAGTTGGGGCTCACACAGTGTGCAGAGACAAAGGTATTTAAGATCCCATTTATGTTAAGGAATTTCATCTTATTGCTAAGTATTGTCCAGAGACTCTGTTGGACCTTTGAAATGTAGTAAAGCTATTTTCTGATTTTAGTTTCATTCTAAATATTCAATTTGAATGTATTAGAGATAACTAGCCATGTAAAATTGACTCTCATAATTGTGCCTGGGGGACCCTTTAAGTACTACCACATGTAGATAGTAGTGCATTCAAGGCCTTGTAAAGAATATCTTGAAGTATTCATGAATCTTATATAAACTATAAGAATGAATGTTACCGGTATTTAAGTCCATATGGACATGCAGTTGTAATATATGCTGTACAATGTCATGTACGTAGGTGGGAACAGAGATGATCCGTGGTGTGTCGGGTGGAGAGCGTAAACGGACCAACATCGGGATGGAACTGATCACCGCTCCACCTGTCCTCTTCCTGGACGAACCAACCACAGGTCTGGACGCCAGCACGGCAAACGTAGTCATGATGCTGCTACAGAGGTGGGTTTGAAATATGTATGACTGGTTTATTTCGAAAGGAACATGCATACAACATACATATAAGTTGCTAATTGCAGCCCGCAGGCTGAATTGGGCAGCTTTTACAATGGGATACACAGGTAGAATATATTTAACATGTACATAACTTAAACATAAGCATCAAATATTGCACTAGGTTATTGCACTTTTATTGCACTAGATTATTGCACTTTTACGTTAAAATTACGGCGTTACAAATACAGGCTCGGTTACAAATTACATGATATAGCTAAAAACTATTACAACAAACATAAGATAAAACACTATTACAAAATATACAGCTATTATAAAAAAATATATACTACTATAGGTCCAAAGGTGTTCAAAATGT